ATCTAGCCCCTCGCTTTTTTACATTAACGGAAGTCTGTTATATTATACCAATTCTTATTGACAACTTACGTCAATGTAACAAAAGCGATGGTCTAAATGCATGGAATTACAGCTTTATTTAAAAATCAAATTCTAAACCGAGAGCATTTCTAAAAGCTAGACTATATCGTCTTACTTTGTGCCAAATGATAACCCGCAACATGACGTACAGGGTGTCCCAGAACTCATGAGAATGTTTTGAGGGAGATATAAGGCATGGGTGATTTTTCTTCAAATTTGGTACACTTATTAAACACACTTTGCGGAATAACTGACATGAATTTCAGGCACATATCTTTTATATTTTCGAATTTACTGACATTTGAATTCTACATCGCCACAAACCCCGGAGTTATCGGGAAAATACAACAGTTTATGTCACATTTTGTCAATTTTATACAAATTCTCAACTATAAAACCAACGTTTTTTGTATAAGCTTAGTACAGCATTTTTCTCATATTGATGATGCGCTTTGATAAATCGATATATAAACTTTGATAGAGACCAATACATCAACAGATTGTACATTTGGTTTGCTGAAAAATCATAATGACATGTTCCTGAGGGACTGAAAGAAATGTCCCCATTTGCTAGCCAATATGATCTTGCATATTGACAATGCACCAGTCAATAAGTCACTACATGCATGTCAGTAGTGCATCCAATTTACTTTCTATTGAGACTTCACAGTACATAGTAGCTCCATATACTTGCCAGATTTTGCTCTACTGGGCTTTTGATTTATTTGGGGACCTTAAACAAAGATTAGTGAGCCATGTCACTGAAACGGAGGAAGAATTGAGTCATGTTGTTTCAGAGGACCCTACAGAAATGGCTATCGGGCGATTTGGGAATGTGTATAAAGAGAAGCTGAAAAGACGACATCAACTGCAGATAATATGCTATAATAACTCTGTAGAGATACGTTAGCTGAATGTGTATGATCCTATTAACTAATGTACTGAAACGCTGAAATACTTCAATGAAAACAATGCTATTATAGTAGAGAAGTTATATAAATATTACCAAAATGTGACGTAAATTGTTGTATTTCTCTGACTACTCCAGGGTTTGTGGCGATGTAGAATTCAAATGTCAATAAAATCAGAAAGATATGTGCCTGAAATTCATGTCAGTTATTCCTCAATGTTTGTTTATTAAGGACAGGGTGCATGTTGGGAAATTTTCCGGATTCCTCAATTGAGTCACATGTTATTTTTCAAAGAAGAATAACTCCTTCCCCACATTGTCTACATCTTCCAGGTTTGCACAAAGATTGCATTTATGTGCCTAGAAAAGCCTTGTGAGAAGATTTGTTTTGTAAAATGTATAAAAAATGAAAAAATTCAGTGAAAAAAATTTCTGAAAATTTTCTGAATCTTTTCACTGAATTTTCTTGTTTTTTATACACTTTATCAAAACATTCTTCGCACAAGTCTTTTCTAGGCACATAAGAGCACTCTTTGTGCAAAACTGGAAGATATAGATAATATGGGGAAGGAGTGATTCTTGTTTGAAAAATAACATGTGACTCAATTGAGGAATGCAGAAAATTTCCCATCATGCACCCTGACCTTAAGTGCACTTAATTTGAAGGAAAATCATTCATGCCTTATAGCTCCCTCAAAAAATTCTCATGTACTCACCATGTAAGTTTAAATCGAGAAAACAAAAAAAACTCGTCTCCATCCAAATTCATCCATTTTGTTACATTGACGTTCCGTCAAAGTAACTAGTTGTGGAACAGTGATTACATCATGTAAAAATTTACTTAAAGTCCTTGATTTAAGTAACTGAAAGCCTTTGCCTGATCCCAGACGCGAACATGGGGACCCTTGAAAAATAGTGTATTGCAAGATTGATATTTACTGATTTTTTTAGGTTATTGTTATTTATTTCTATATAATTCAACATAATTGTTTACATAGATTGTGAGGGGCCGAGGCTACATATCATTATTGACCCCCCTCTAGAAAGTTAAAAACATATAATAAATCACTGGAGTGTGTAGGATTGCAACGGACAGACGGTTGTCCACTTTTACTGATGCTGTTTGCATTCATCAACCATTCTAGATGCAGATATCTGAGCCTATGTAATAATTGTTAGGATGAGACATTAATCGCTTTCCTACAGATCCATTAACTTTTAGCCTTCAATAAAAACAGATTTTGCCACATACACTCTAGTGAAAATTATAAATAATTTTTCTCCAGAGTGTCTTCTTTAAGGCAATATGTTACTCACTTAAGAGGGATTATTATTTTCCGATATAATTTATATTTAATTCGAGTAGTATTTCAATACTAATACAGATAAAACCACTTTGATCATTATAGATTATCTCAGATATACATGCACACTTACATTTCCGTTTACAGACAAGTTCCTTTTTAGATCATGTTGAAGGTTAACAATTGGAATATTAATTAAATGTCATTGTAAAGTCTGTTTTGAAATTTAAAGAGACTCTATTGAGACTTCTCTGTGGCATTTTTTCTTTATTCCTTTTTGTTTTGAATTTTTAACACCATAACATTAACTAACTACATAATATGCAACTTTTCACCACGTAGAATTTTAAAATATTAAGTTTGAAAATTCCATTTTTATAATGGAGCTCAATGGGAAAAACTACATAATTTGAATTATTTTCAAACGATTTTGATAAAATTGACAAATATAATAAATATTGGTAAGACAAAATGTTTGATGAAAAATGAAGAAAATTCACCGTCCTGGTTACGCAAAATATAGAAAAATCTGAAATAATCATAAAAACCTGTAAAAATAGATTGAAGAGGGTGATATTCATTTTTAATGTGCCTTTCACTACTACAGGGTAACCATAATTTTGGTACTGATTTGATTTTTCAATGAAAATCATTTCTATAGTGTATAGTCAGTTTAAATAATACAGTTGCTATATTTCTTTACTGAACAGTGCAATCATTTATTTATTTATCAACAGTAATGCAAACTACATATTATACAGTTAGTAAAATATTAAAATAATTCTATTAAAATTAAAGCATTGAGATGATACTTAAATAATAACATATTATATTGATAGGCATATTATTATATTATAGGATTTAAGCCAATGACTCAATGAATTGTAGATGATTAGATTTAAAATATGTCTTGATTCTAGACTTTGAACGTGGGCGGTAGTCCGAATTCAAAGCCTAGACTAGAAGACATAAGTGAATTGAAGCATCCACTATTCATTGAATCATGTGCTTTAATTCAATTTCACACGTTGCAAAATATTTTTTACAATTTCACTTAACAGAATGATATTTTTTCAATACAAAGATATGTTGTACTTTTAGAATCATTTGCTTCAAAGAATTGAACAATGGCGGCCTTTACTCGTTATTTTACGATTTTTGCTGTAACTCGAAAAGTAGTCGAGCGATTTTGTTCATATTTGGTATATGAATACTATAAGCATGGCACACTGTCTAATGACACTTTTGGTAGAAGGCAGCCATTTTAAAAAATGGCCGTCATTTTAACGTATTTTATTTTTATTTTACTCGAAAAGTAGTAGAGCGATTTTGTTCATATTTGATGCGTGAATACTATAAGCGTGGCACACTGTCTAATGACACTTTTGGTAGAAGGTGGCCATTTTGAAAAATGGCTGCCATTTTTGCTGTATACTTTGTTTGTAAAATGCCAGCCATGGCTGTTCGATGGGATTTGCTACACGTTGGTGTTGCTGTTGTCTAGTTGAAGGATGGATGGACGGACAAATGGAGGGGTCTCTATAGCTTATCCCCTAATCTTCGTTGGATTGAACAGTTGTGAATATGGTTTGTTGGACAAATAAAACTGATTGAATGTCTAAAAGCAAATAATGAAGTGGTAATTTATTTAAAATCATTATAATCTCAAACATGTTTGCTTTGGTCTAGTCACTTAATTCCTAAATGTCCCGTAATTAGGATCTTTATACCTTATTAGATGCAGTGAAGGAGTTAAATCATTGGGATATGAATAAATCATGCAAAACATATTTTGTAAATATTTCTCATCATTTAGGGTTACCCGGTAGTTTACAAGCTGACCTTTGCAAAATATATTTCACTTACTATCCTCATTCGCTATCACGCTATCTAGTTTCTTTCCAAATTGGCCTGGATTGCCTGGTTTATTGGTTTTAGCGAACCGTCCATTTCGTCGAACCATCATTTTGCTAAGGTTGTTTGTGATGAGTATACAATATTCAGTAACATAACTGTACAGCAACTTTATGCAAGGGAAGGTAATTGTGTGAGAGCACATAGAGTACACGAAGTATTGACCCACTTGTCTCAGTGAATCTTATAAACAGTGCATAAAGTTTTTTCTATGCAATGATTGACTCACAGTTACTTATAGTGTAAGTTATTTTATTTCTATACAGTGTGGAATAGAGTGTATAAACGTTTACAGTTTCAAGCAGGTTTTAGTGTTTTCTGACCAATGATATATTCAGACTTATTCATTTCACGATTATGTAATACTGACCTACATATCTGTATAGCATATCTTTAAGGGTATTTGTTGAAGAATGGAGTGTTTGTATACGATATGCTTCCCTTCTATGAAACAAGATAACAGAGTTCTCTTTGGACCTCCAGTCAGTTAAACTAGTTCCACATATCATTTACATGACAGGGACACACAATGGAAATGGTCAGAATGACCATAAACATGATGAAATAACCTTTTCAGCCCTCTGAAAATGTGACTGAAAAATAGCTAAGAGTAGTTTCTCAGGAAAGGTCACTGAACAGAATCTTTTGACTTTTTCAGAAAATGTGCCCAATATTTGCCCTAAATGATACAATTTAAAAAAAATTCATATCATTCTTAGAAAAAGAAAAAATCAAAAGATTCTGTTCATTGACCTTTCCTGAGCACGTACTTTTAGCTATTTTTCAGTCACATTGCCTACTAAAAACCAGAGCTATGGCTTATATTTCACGACAAGTACGTCACAATATTGTCTTAAATTATAATACCCTGTTCCTACCAGCAGATTGTCATCTGTGTCCATTGCGAGAGACCATGGGAACATCGGCCATTCATTTTCTGACAGTACTTGTCTGATGAAATGACCATCAGGTGAGAGTAACTGCACTGTGCGCTGGGCATTGTTGGCTACTAGGATATATCCCAATGTGTCTACACAAACACCACTGGGACCATCAAGTACATTCTCACCCTTACCACTGTAATTGAACACTTTCTTACCATGACTGTCTACACATCTGATGCTATTAGTGCTAGGGTGAGATATTATGATGTGATCCTGTTTAGTCACCGCTATGCATGTCTTGTAGCCTCGGTCGGTCAATCCAGATGGTGTGAACAATCCAGATGGTGTGGTGTATTCTACCTTCCCAGACTGCCAGTTGATGAACACCAATGACCCATTGATGCCATCCGCAATCACCATCTGACCAATACTATTCACTGCAATAGCTACAGGTTTGATTGTATCTGGGAGTGGTATGTCTCGTTTGTGGCAACCCGATGTGTCAAACTCCTGCACCCACCCTGCAGTAGTAACACTCCCAACATTCCCCATGCCAGCATGTTTTCCACACAGCATTGCCACACTCAGACCATCAGGGGTTGATATCACTTCACGTGGTGCGCCAGTCGTTTTCAGTATTTTTATCCGTTGGAGTCGTTCGTAAAGGAGGATTGCTCTATTGCTTTGCGGTATATACATAGGCGCTACAAGCATTACTATACCAGTAGTACCCGCAGCAGCCAGGGAGTGAGTAATTGCGTAGTCGTCAATTTCAAACTCTTTTCTCTGTAATATCTTTTGTTTGTATGTCCGCAATACATCAATCTGCTGCTGCTGCTGCCGCCACTGTGATATAACAGCATCTACACCATCCTTTAAATCCTGTAAACAAAAATATCAAACAATCTGAAGCAAATATGTATTGTATAAGGGTAATGTTATGTGTAATGTTCTTTATCCCATACTTGGACGTGTTACAGGTACATAAAGCCGGTATGTAAATAGAGATTATCCTATATGAGGTTCAGGATATTGGGATTATCCCGAGGCCAATATAATATATCTGCCCGAGGGCCATACCAATCTTGGTCATTTGGTCCACATCGTTCAATTGGCCACAGTTCAGAAACTTTGCAACCAACCGTGGAATTATTTAAAAATATTCATGTCCAGTTTTATATTCTAGTCCGTAGCCGGATTTTCCTGTACGAACCTTTGATTATGAACAGGACATACTGCCCCTTCCCTTCTTTAAAGCATCAAACAGATCGCGATTGTCTGCGTTTTTCTCCATTGTCGTTTACAGTATGCGAACGTTACAAAGAATGAACCAATATGGGAACGGCGATTATGACGTAGCGGGCAGATATACTATATCTGCCTGCTCGGAGCGGGACGTAAAGCTATATCTGCCCGCTGATGAAAATATAAGTTTTTACAAACCGGCTTTATGTACCTGTAACACGTCCAAGTATGGGATAAAAACTTGGACGTGTTACAGGTACATAAAGCCGGTTTGTAAAAACTTATATTTTCATCAGCGGGCAGATATAGCTTTACGTCCCGCTCCGAGCGGGCAGATATAGTATATCTGCCCGCTACGTCATAATCGCCGCTCGCATAATTTGTAACGTTCGCGTAATGACTGTAAACGACAATGGAGAAAACACAGACAATCGGGATCTGTTTGATGGTTCAAAAAAGGGAAGGAGCATCCACTTAATCAAAAATTCGAGAAAATAAATGTGGGAATATTTGAGAGAACCGGAAAATCCACCCACGGCCAAGAAAACAAAACTGGACATGAATATTCTACAATATTTCCACGATTGAACAATGTGAACCAGATGACCAAGATTGGTATGGGATAAACATATTATCCTATAGTCGGTTCAGGATATTGGGATTATCCCTTGGCCAATATAATATATTTTCCCTCGGGACCTGCGGCCCTCGGGCAAATATATTATATTGGCCTCGGGATAATCCCAATATCCTGAACCTCATATAGGATAATCTCTATATATTTTCATCAGCGGGCAGATATAGCTTTACGTCCCGCTCCGAGCGGGCAGATATAGTATATCTGCCCGCTACGTCATAATCGTCGCTCGCATATTTATTCATAATTTGTAACGTTCGCGTAATGACTGTAAACGACAATGGAGAAAACACAGACAATCGGGATCTGTTTGATGGTTTAAAAAAGAGAAGGAGCATCCACTTAATCAATCAGAAATTTGAGAAAATAAATATGGGAATATTTGAGATAACAGGAAAATCCGTCCACGGCCAAGAAAACAAAATTGGACATGAATATTCTAGAATATTTCCACGATTGAACAATGTTAACCAGATGACCAAGATTGGTAAAGGATAAACATATTATCCTATAGTCGGTTCAGGATATTGGGATTATCCCTTGGCCAATATAATATATTTTCCCTAGGGACCTGCGGCCCTCGGGCAAATATATTATATTGGCCTCGGGATAATTCCAATATCCTGAACCTCATATAGGATAATCTCTATGTATATCATGTTTATTATTGTTTATCACGTGTATTTAAAATTGCCATCGATTACTTAAATGTATAAAATGCTATTTCAATTTGCGTTTACAAAACGCCAGTCATAAAAGCCCGTTCCAGAATTTTCTTAAATAATTCATTTTGCATTTTTAGTTAATTTTATATATTCTATACTGTAAAAAAATAGTGAGAAATAGCATAATGTTGCACAGAATCGTTATGAATCATACAAAATTTTCGTTTAATCTTCTCGTGCAATGAAGTGTTGCATTGCAAGACATGGCCTTCAATCTCAAACAACTTAAAATTTGTATGATGCGTCTTGTTCATGAACTTTTGAACATCAACAGGGTGGTCAAAAAACGGAAACCCTGCATTTTCCTCATATCTTTGTCATTTTAGAAAATTACTCCCTGATATTTCACACATTTGTACATTATTCAGTTTTCTACCATCCTGCCATATTTCATGACCATCAAACTGATAGTCACGATTTTACAGCTCTTTGAACAACATGCTTCAGGTTTGGCCATCATCGCGCTGGAGACAAACCTGCACAGCTGTCAATGATCCAAATGTATTCCTCGGCAAGTATGGCCTGAATGATACAGATGATCTCACATTTGAGGTTTGCAATTGTCCTGGGGTAATTATTGTACACTCTATCTCTGCCATATCCCCACTGGTAGCGACATTTTGGACGACATGTGCAGGTTGGTCTTCAACGCAATAGTGACTACCGGGAATGTTCTTTTAAAGTGCTGTAACACGGTGACTATCAATCAGATGGTCATGAAATACGGTAGGCTGGTAGGAAATTGAGTGATGTACAAATGTGCTAAGTTATTTCTTAAAATAAAAAAGATATTAGGTAAAATGGTGTAAGGGTTTCCAGTTTTTTTTTTACCACCCTGTATTTTGAATTTGAAAATATTTTTTTTCTTTCATAACTGATGCCCCCTCCAAAAAGATAGAAATGGTATATAATCGGTATTCATCCAAAATATGTAATGAAGCATCGGGCGGGCATAATAACAGGCTATACTTCGATGCTACATTGCTACATTATCACTGTTCCACAGCTGAATGACTCTAACTGCAGTTATGTTGATTCAAAATGGTGGCCAAAATTCTTTAGTTTTTGATAAACCAACGATTCCAGCTAAACAAAGTTGAATCTGGATTCCAAATGTTTCGCCATGCAAACTAATAAAGTGACAATTTTAAACAGCCAGGAAAATTTGGTCAGACATCCGCATTAATAGAGAATTCCAAAAAAACAGCTTCACTTAGAATGACTCTAACTGAAGTTGATTAACTAACTCAAACTTGATATTCACCATTGATGACACTAACTCAGATGGCCATGCATGGCCGTAACCTTCACATCTAAGATGGCGGACGGTCATTGTCGATTTCGACAGTTTTAGTTTTCATCGAATTTAACAACTTCATAGTTGACGTTATGCTTTGATGTTTCAACCAAAACAGGCTCATATGTCATGGAAACCCAGGAGTGTGAAAATTTGTTCATATACTATGCGTGGGCGCCACAGTTTAATGATATCTTCCACCGCTTAAGGGAAGGTAACTGGAAATGTATGATGTGGTAACGGTCGTGTTTGTTTTCAATACATGATAACTGGACATCTAAGCTCTCCATGATAAACTCTCATAACGTTACCGCATCACCGTATACCAGTCATCTCATCATCTGTAAAACCAAAATCCCAGTTACCTTCCCTTAAACGCTGTGGAAGATATCGTTGAACTGTGGTGCCCAATCAGGGTACAGAGTGGTCCAAGAAAATGAACCCTTGCAACAAGCAATATCTCAGTTATTTTTAACATCAATGGGCTAATATTCTCACATGATTTAGTATAATGTCTAAAGTTTTTATGGGTACCATAAAGGTAACTTAGTCTCAAGTCTTGCAGAAGCTACATGACATCAACAGACATGCCTGATTTTGGATGATGTGCTCAATCAATGTTTCACTGTTCTGGATAACTGCTGCAACGCGAATGTTGAAGTTGTTCACTGTTCGTTCCAGCATACTAGTATCTAGGGGTATTTTGTAATTTTGAAGCATTTTTCTTTATTTTAAGGAAAAAATTGTTGCACACACCCAATATGATCCACATCGAATCCTCATGGATAAGTATGGCAATCACCGTAGTTTCCACATAACATTCACACTATTTCCACGTGAATTTGATCCACATTATTGTCACACGTTTCTCCGTGGATATTTTGCAAGGATTCCACATGAATAAATATGGAAAAACGTTTCCAATTCCACGTGGATCAATGGGCCTAAAATCCATGCGTATTTCACATGGAATCCATGTGTTTTATGAGGATTCTAGATGAATCCTCGTGGCATAGGTTCCATGTAGATGTGGATTGGTTCATCCTTCGATCACAGGGCTTCAAAATCCAGAATATGTTCTATATATATAATATATTCAGTTTAATCGGGCGCTTCCAAATTGGTAGCAGGGGGAAGATGGAGGTACGGCTTCTGGATACCTGCTTAGGAGGATGCGGGATTGGCTGTGTATGTAATGTTTTTTAAGCAGTAAACAACTTCAACACACGCATAACGGCAGTTATCCAGAACCGTGGAGCATGGATTGAGCACATCACCCATTTATCAGGTGTGTCCATAGATGTCATGTAACTTCTACAAGACTTAGGACAGAGTGACCTTAATGGTACCAATAAAAAAATTAGACCTTCCTCTAAAACATGTGAGAATATCAGCCTATTAATGCAAATAATAAATGAGATATAGCTTGTTGCAAGGGTTCACTTTTTGGACCACCCTGTATATGAACAAATGGTAAACTCCAGAGTTTCGATGTCATATACGCCTGATATAGTTCAAATATCAAAGAATTACGTCAATTACAAATATTAACTGACCAGTGATTATGTTGGCATTTTTTTAAACTCACTTCTCTTAGTTGTAGTTCCGGTTTTTCAGTTAGTATCTTTTGTAGTTCTTCACCCTTACGATTTTTGACTAGAGCTGTTGTCAGTAGTGTGTAACACTCGTCAGTTCCATATTTTTTTGCACACTCTTTCAATACCTTCTCTGCTTCGTTTGGTTCACCTCGCTGTATAAATGCATTTCCCAGAGTGTTCAGTACATCACTGTTACTTGCATCAATGACGCGTGGACCGAGGTTCAAAAATTCTTTGCTTTTGTACGCATCCTTGATGTACATGTTTAAGAGAATCTGTAGAATAAGCTTGTTGTGATCCACAGGTTTTTCTCGTTTGAGATATTCCGCATTGGCTTTACCGAGGTACTCTTTTGCCTTCTCTCGTTTTCTAATCAGTAGATATGCCATTGCGTGATTAAGAAGCGATGCATCATACAGCGGTTGTGTTCCTACTGCTTTGAGCAATGCTTTTCCTTTCTGTTCTTCAGTTACGTCCGTTTCCCCTCGTTTGTGACTATGTTGCTCGATACTAGAGACTAGGGGAATAGCTGTCATGTAGTAGCGCAATACCAAATCCTCGATGAACTGTTCTGATTTCCCCTTTTCTTTCAGGAATACATCAGGAAACAGCTGTCCTTTGACCTCGTCCACTTGGCCATTATTCTCGGCGTAACATCTTAGTCTGAACTCTGTAGCTAACGCTAGGATCATTGTAAGGTTATGTAGGTTATCATCGCTCAGGCCTTTCACTTGTTTTACATCCCATATACAGGTTGTCTTGCTTCCCAGGAGATGAAGCAGGTTGTTGATAACCACACTCGGGAGACGGTAGAGCTCCTTCTTGACACTGAGTTCTATATCTGTTAGCAGGTGTTCGTTAAACTTGGCATCATAGATCTTCTTAGTGCACGAATATTTCATTAAGTCATCCTTGAACTCTTTCATTATTCCGGCCATGATCTTATTCCGTTTCACCCCATCTTTTTCAAAAAGGTCTTTCATCTCATCTGCAACTGAATCTTCACCATATAGAATCTCAAAATCTCCCTTATATAAGTAAAGTACTTTGCTCAAATTTCCATTGGCCTCGAAGTACCTCATAAATGCTTTCTTAGTGTCTGTGAGTGAGAATTCATATTGGGGGTCTTCAAAATAGGGCGTTTTATTCGCATGTGGCATCAATCCATCAAAGGACACCCCTTGCTTCACGGATACGTGTGTTCGGTCATCGTAATACCAGTCCTTAAGAGAGTCAATGTGCATAGCAGGTAGAATTGTTTCACCGAGCATAAGTAGTTTGATGTGTACACACATAATGATGTTCATTAATTGTACTTTATACTGGGGAACTATGCTAAAGTCATTTGTGTCTACGACAACTGCGAATTCTACGTCGGAAAATGGTGTTGTTTCCTTTCTTGAGAAGGATCCAAATGCTATAAAGGCAAAGTCATCATTGTGAAATTCAAACATTTTTCTACTCTGGTTCACTAACGATTCTATGAACTTTTTTATTTCTCCGTGATTCCATTTTAAGATTTCGCTGACTTGTTCTATGTACTCTTTTTCTAATTTTTTGTGTGCCTCATCTAGATCAATGGGACATCCACCATGCTCTCTGTTTATATTTCTAAGTTTAGTTTTCATAATTTCTCGTATTTGTCGCAGAGTATCTTTGTTGGTGTCATTATCCTCCTCAAACTGTAAAACCTTGTCATTTAATGTTTCCTGTTTTGTACTACCGCTCAAGAATTCTCGCAAAGTAAGTTTCCTTTCTCGTTTTATTTTTTCAGATTCCTGTTTCTTAACATCATCTGAACATTCTTGAAGGTGAACTTCAGCACATTCATACAGAGCGATAGACTTCACATATTCTAGTTTCCTCGCTGTAAGTTTAGCTCTCCTCCTGTGAATGTTACCAATATGACGTAATGCCCTCACGTGCTTATTTGATTGTTCTTCCCTCTGCTTTTTCGAAACTGATTTTCTTTCTTCAAAGTTGTTTTGAATGATATTCAGTTGATTTAGTTTGCTCGTAATTTCTTTTTCTTCTTGTTCAAGTTTGTTCAAGATCTCTGTGTCAAGTTTTTTCTCTTTTTTATCAAGTAGAGTCTCTGTATCTGTTGATGTTGTTTCAATTTTTATCAAACAGTCAGTGTCGGTAGATATTTCTTTCACCGTGAATAGAGCTTCTGTGTTTGTCGATATATTTTCCGTTTTTATCAAACAGTCCGTGTCAGTAGATTTTTCTTTCCTCTCGAATAGAGCTTCTGTATCGGTGGACATGTCTTTACTCTCGGATGGAGCGTTTGTGATTGTTGATGTACTAAAACAATTACAGCAGTCTAAAAAATTCCAACTACGACTTGATTTGGTGGCTGAAGCTGGTACATTTGTTGTTGCTACTTGTGTCTCAGAGATTCCTGCTAGAGTCGTTGGGGTTGAGGTTACATCGGTGCCTGATGTATTCTGACCAACTGAAGGTATCAACGGCTCTTCATCTGCTGCACCCCCGAGGGAGCTGCTGTCATTCCCCATCCTTCTTCTTTAGGGTTACATCTAAAATTAATCAACATAATACTCTAACTAAAGACCAAATATAAAGTTTAAAGCACTAATTGGCTGGATTAAATTGAATTAGTCTTATTCAATGTTATAAAAATGTGATAATTATTTCAAAAAGTTTTTTGTATAACTTTTTGAAAAATCGTGAATCTGTTTACAACTAAAGAGCTCACACATATCCTTACTAACACCCCAGTCACATTTGTCGTACGGCAGCCGTACGTCAACCGTAGATCAATTAAATCAGTGAGTTTCTGCGGCGAGTGTAGGAAAAATACGGTCGACTCGTGGTCTCCATACGGCGTATCCAATTTTTTACAGGCCACGGGGTAGCCGTAGAAATTATAACTCGGAGTAATAATATTTGTTTATTTCTGCGGTCCCCGTAGAAATCAACAGGCCATGGCTAGACCGCAGAACGGTCCCACGGTGGCCGCATTTCGGGATTACTTGCGTCTGCCGTCGTGTTTTAATGGGTTATGTACCTTTGGAAACAGTTTTCAGGTCATATCTTAGCTGTGAACACAACGCAATAGGTATACTGTTTGATGTAAGGTCACTGATAACACAGCAACGTATATTTTGAATGATTGAGTCAATATTGGTCACTCAAATATTGTATCCTAGCGCTATAAGTAGCATTTTTAAATTGTACTGGTATAATTAAGATAAATAAACAAACATTAACTTTTATCGACAGAAATTCGCCTTGTGGCTACCGTAGGAAATGTGACTACAAAAGCATCCGACCGCAGAAAGTTACTGATCGCAGAAATGATAGACCGCATGGTCGCAGTAGGAAATGTGACTGGGGTGTAAGCGATTAATCCACACCAATGCTTAACATTCATCCTCACAGGTCTTTTGTTGAAAAATTGGTTGATAAGTAAGCGAGAAATTAACTCATCATTGCAGTGGTTAACAGAAAAATGCATTTCCAAATTTTATTTCTCATAGAACCAATGGCACAGCCACGCGGTACTAACTTCGACCGTTAATTTGAATTTTAGACCTACCGGACGTTTGAAAATCTAGGATTGCGAGTCTCATACTGCACCGTTTTTCTTCAAACTTGTTCCGTTCAAAGCTTAACAAAAATTCCTTTCTGTTTGGTACATTACTCTGTTATAGAGAGTCCTTACTTTCAGCGGCATTTTGGTCCCCAGCTGTTAGAAGGGCTTCTCACAGCTGGGGACCAAAACGCTGCGAAAACGAGAGACCCTGTACAATAAAGCAATGCACAGACAAAAAGGCAATTTTGTTTTGATTTGAATGTTACAAGTTTGAATAAAACGGTGCAGTATGAGACTCACAATCCTTGATTTTCAAACATCCGGTAGGTCAAAAATTCAAAGTAACGGTAGAAGTTAGTACCGCGTGACAGTAATATTTTAAAAGTAATATATTCTATTTTTCAACCTGTTAGACGATCAACATTGGTTTATTTTAAAATTTTAACACATTTATAAAAGATTGACATAGAAAAAATTATCTTTTGCACCCTAAATGACATCACGATGAGGTCTTAGGTAATTTGGGAAGCACTTTTTTTTGGTTTGATAAAACACTGAAGTGGCACATTGGATATATTTCACTATTGAAATCGTATGTCCTTTGTTAAGTTTTCCCCAAATTTTAAAATAACTTCCTTTAAAGTCATGAAAATAGTAAACGAATGATCAAAACATATTTCCAAACGTTACATGGGGCCTTTAAGCTTTGTAGTTTTGACCTAAATAAAGCTTGCTTACCAGAGACTCAAATAAATTGAAAAATTCTCCAGGTCAAAATCGAGGTCCGTTTATTAGTCTATCACTAAGCTCTTAATTCAGATTTGAATATTATCTTCGTTTGAACCGTTTGTCATCAATAAATATTGTCCTTGAAGAACTTTCTTCATCTTAGTTAAAGTTTAATTTCAGTACAGTTAGACTAGCTGTCCCTAGTCACAACAAATTAGCACTTGGCAAAATGGCTTAAACAGTTTCCGAGTTTGGTCAAACACTTTTGAGGTCCATTTTCATTTTGCAACGAGATAAAACAACAGAGTACCTAAACCGAGTTCATGGCGTTGTTTAGCTGGGCAACCATTTATCAAAATAGTTAATGAATGATTAGAATGTGCTTAGCAGGTCCGTAACCAGGGGGGCGGCCAAAAATTCTTTCAAAATGATGCTGTTCTTTACAATCCTGAACATTTTCATTTGATGTTGGGCCTTTGCCAAAGTGAGACGGTAACAATAACCTTAAGAGCAAATCAGTTTAATTCCTTTCAAGAACTAATTGAAACATAAGAATAAAGAATAGTATTGCATTGAACATTGTAAAAAAGAAAGTTTTTTTGGTGAATATTAGGTCGGTCAATGTCATTGGAAAAGAATGATAGTGGGTTCATTGTATCCTTAATAATACCAGTGTTCAATTGTTTTAATTATCATTATATAATACTTTTCTTTAAGATGATAAAATAGATCTGAAAGATCTCCGTCGTCATGGTCAGAAACCCCCACTGGGTATATTTGAAAAAAATATATAAATAGTAAATCTTTATCAATAAACTCAATAATCGGCCGAATTAAAGGAATGTTGTTTTGAGGTATGTTGTTGAAATTGTGTTTCATATTCTTAGATTACTCACATGTTTTAGCGATGAGTTTCGACCGCTTCACATTCCCTTCTTCGGTCTACTCTTGACGCTGACCAATACTGCAGGGCCGAAGTCCATGTTGTAAGTTTAATTTTATGGGATCGTTGTCTGACTTTTTGCGCTTGATAAACAACTTTAAAGACTTCAGATTGAAAATTTATTTATTTTTTGAGCGTTTTATCAAAGGTGTTAAATCATTTTATCTGATGGGCAAGGTCGAGTAGTATGCTATCTAATTATAATTAATAAATAATGTTAATGATTAGTCATGTTCACATGAGTACAATTTTTTAGGTAATTCTACTCACGTCCTAGAAAAAATTCGGGCACTGGTCGAGAATCAATTGGCGTAATTAGAAAGTTAAAAGTGTTACCAAGCAACAATGGACCAATCTTCTAGTTAATATGTATATGCCCATATCCTATTCCCTTACACTGCCAAAGTTTCATGTATATACGCCTACTACTTAACATTTCACAGTTGCTATAGTAACCACGGTGATGACGCTACGCCCCTGAACATGGATAATGAGGGCACTATTACGCTGCGTGCAGAGTCTAATTATAAACTACGAGAAGACGAAACGCTCATTTGTGAAGTCGAACAAATGCAAAGGGTAGGGTACTATAGAAGGAGATCATATAAAAGCACGATCTATTTCACAACGCCTTTAACTTTTGTGCTTCAACTGTTGCCCTTTGTGCATTTCAAAAATAAGATATCTTAATCTGATTTGTTCCACCTTTCTTTTCGCTCAGTTCTGCAATATTATGTCCACATGTTGTTTAGGATTATGTCATTTGCGAAATAGCTGTAAGACATTATGAGAATGAATATGGGAGTTTCCACGATAATGTTGGTCACATGATTTTATACACATACCTGCATAACAATCGGAGACAGAAGTCTTAATATTGTACAATAAAAAAATAAGAATCTAACATTTAATGATAACAAAAGGATTAATTGCTTAGTTCTCTTTGTCTTAGTCTTTGTTTTCTTAAATGCGGAAGTGTACCAACATCACCTAGATTACATAAGAGATCATCTAACAGTCTAAAATTGCTTTTAATTGCAAGTTAATGCATTCCGACCAAAATTTGTATACCTGCAATTTGGGGGGGGCGATGTTACATCACATAATTACAACGTTCATATAGAAATATACAATAAGCATGTCCGTATAAAAGCTAAAATTATAAAAACTCATTTCAAAGTCATTCTGTTCATGGAAGCGTCAAGTTATGAAAAACAATGCTAAACACTCAAACAAATCGACTTGATTACCTTTGAAAACTTCTTGAGAGGAAATGGACAAATGTATTTTTCTAACTCATTAGAACGTCTGTCTGATTGAAATACTATATTTTAAATACAAACATAAATGATTTAATCTTGGTCAGAAGTCTGAACATTGTCCAACAGTCTAAACTTGCTTTTAATTCCCGGGTTTTAATTACATTTTATGTATAGACTTTTTTGCCTCTATTCTCATTTTTAAAGTGCCCGATAAACTATAAAATGCGCATGCGTCCAGGTGTTGATAAACTATAAATAGCGAAAATCCAGGGTTTGTCACCACAAGGTAAGCCAGGACGTGTTGAGAGAACAGCTAGTGTTGATATTGAATTTACATGTAGCCAGATAAGTTTCCTTATTGAAATTACATATGGTTATTAGCAATACTTTGTAGGTGCTAAATAATAAAATATTTAGAGTATATATGAGAGAAATTGGTCATTTCGAACCTGTTGAAAAGTTTGTGGCTCTCGGCTACACCGGGGAATTTACTTCCATGAGTACACACATAAATGTGGGGTTCCCCAAGAGGTACGCGACAAGGTGACCTGGCATCAAATGTGCGACTAAATGCTACTATCGAGAAGATAAAATAACGAATACGACAATAAGTTATTGCATGTGACAATTCCGAGCCTTCATCTCACTGAAGTATTTTGAAGTGAAAATAGGATTTTTGTTTTGATACATGGATTCAGATGAACGTAACTTTATTCTGACAACTTATCAAAACTGAACAAAATTGATTGTACGTAACAGACAATTTATTGTTTTACAATGTTTTGATTGGCTAAACGAATGAAACCAACAAATTATGACATGTAAAATGACAATTTTGAAATTTAAAAGTGACAAACACAACCTCCCTATCCACTCTTTGGGAGCCCTAGTAAATTAGTAATATGTACATGCAGCAGTGGTAGTGTACAGCTTATTATCACACGTCGTATTGTATTTGTATTCTAAAGCCTGTTGTTTGTAATAACACTGTTCACTCAACGTATGTTTTGTGTGTGGGCAGTCAAC